ACGAGAGACAACTTTCTTCAGCTCAACGTGCGTAAAACTGAGGCCCTCCTGATTGGCTCACGTCAGCGCCTCCACACCTCAGGCGCTGACAGCATCAGCATCCAAGGCTGCACTCTCCACCTCTCAAAGCCAGTCAGGAACCTCGGGGTTCTGTTCGACCCTGAGCTGTCCTTTCTCCCTCATATCCGCACCACAACTGGCACCGCCTTCCATCACCTCCGGAATATCGCCAGACTACGGCACTACCTCACCCCTCACGCTGCTGAAACTCTGGTCCACACCTTTATCACCTCAAGGCTGGACTATGGGAACTCTCTCCTCGCCGGCCTTCCCGGCACCTCCCTCCACAAGCTGCAGGTCATTCAGAACTCTGCAGCTCGTGTACTGTCCCGCACCAGGCTTCGCGACCACATCACTCCCACCCTCGCTCGCCTCCACTGGCTCCCCATCCCCCAGAGGATCGAATTCAAGATCCTCATCCTCACCTACAAGGCCATTCACGGCCTTGCTCCCTCCTACCTCTCTGACCTACTATCCCCCTACCTACCTGCCCGTACCCTCCGTTCCTCTGGCTCCAGTCTGCTCCACATCCCCCGCCCCAACCGCCCTACCATCGGTGGCCGGGCCTTCAGCCTCTCAGCCCCTAGGCTCTGGAACTCTATCCCCCAGTGCCTTCGCCTTGCCTCCTCCCTTTCCTCCTTCAAGGCCGGTCTCAAGACCTTTCTTTTTGACCGTGCCTTCAGCTCCCCTCTCGACTCTCTACCCCCTCCTCGCTCCCTCCCTTCCCTCCCCTCACCCTGAGCATTTACCCCCTGCTCGGGTCCTGACCCAACTGTACAGCGCCTTGGGACGTCCTCCCGACGTGAAAGGCGCTCTATAAATGGAATCTTGTTGTTGTTGTTGTTGTTCTCAGGGGGAGCTTAAAATTGCTGTTATACCATTTCAAAAGAAAATTTTCCTGGTGAAAAATCTTCCAGTTAAATTGACTACTGGCTACTGTATTTGCCTACAAAACATTCTGTTGCCTACTTGACACCAATTACCTGTAAAACACTTTTGAGACACTTTGATATATTAAGTTTGATATCAAATACAAGGAATATTATTATGACTAAAGACATGACTGGTCATAATGGATGGGCTGAAGATTAGACTGATGGTTAAGGACATATCAGCTTATTGCTGAAAAAAACATGCAATCTCTAGGCTGTTGTGACAGAGTTGGGAGAGGGGGTTAGTGCATCAGCAAACCAGAAGTAGTATTTTGTTATTGACTGACTTCATTTTCACCAATTGTTAATGCTACAGTTATACCAAACACAATGATGTAATGTGTACACATTCATTGATATAATCAAAGACGATTCTAGTTTATGAATGCTCGAGGCAGTTATCTAAGCCATTTGTTTTGAAAATCATTCTATTTATGGAGCTCTGTGTTCATTTATTACATCCCACAAACAGCAAAGTGGATGCACTGAGTTGATGTAAACCAAGTGGTTCTCCTTGTAGTTCATTCACATTCATTGGCAGTAGTAGGAATGAAGCAGTCAGTGTCCAGGCCAATTAGAATAATCCTTGCTTTGAGACATCATTGAGACATCTCAAAGCGCTTCACAGAATTTACTGTAGAGTGGATTGACTGTGTATTTTGTGGGCATAACACAGAAGCCAGCTTGCACACAGCAGTGCACCACAAACAACCATGGCATAAGTGACCAATTTTATTTAGGAGGGGATTGTTGAGTCAGGACACCGAAAGAAACTCGCTTCTCTTTTCAAACAGTGAAAAGATCTTTAACATCCACCTGAACAGACAGATGGGACTTCGGTTTAACATATCATCCAAAGAACAATGCAAACCCCACCCCCCCCACCCCATCCCATCATTGCATTGGAGTGTCAGTTTAGACTGTGTGATCCCAAGACCCGACATGGGGCTTGAACCACAACCTTTCAACTTAGAGGCAAGAGTGAGCCACTGTGCCAGGCTGATACAATCTAAGCTTTTTGTCTGACATTGGGCTATTGTGAGAACTTATTTTGTTCAAACACAGAAGCTGTTTAGACTCCATATTAGAGACTGGAGGCTTCTAATGTAATAAATTTGAAGGAGAAATTATTGAATAAACTACCTAGAGCCAATTTCAGACAACGATCAGCACTTTTCCATCCTGACAACTGCCTTTATTTTAAATAGTCATAATTGAACATTTTTGAATGTTTTTGAAAGTTAGTTGTTTTCAGTGAAGCTGAAATACAGAACCATCATGTTTGTTTATGTAAAGCTTTGCACTGGATTTTCTTTCCTGATATTTTTGTCCTTCATTAATGTTGTTCTTAATACTAAATGATCCAGTAAAAAAAAACACTGTACATTGTGCTGTGTATTTCATACTGTACTGTAGAAATATCACTTCTACTAGGGTATGTAGTCTTTGTGGAGTCCTGTAGCTCAGTGGTTAGAGCACTCGCTTTGCAAGTGAGAGACCTGAGTTCAATTCCAGGCAGGGCGAAACCTTGGGCAAGTTTCCTTACTCCACACGCCTAATAATAATCCCTCCAAAAACCAAAAACAATAATAAATTGGTCATTTTCAATCTACGACTGTTTGTGGGACATTGTTGTGTGCAATTGGCTGCCGCATTCGCCCACAAATATACAGTCAATTCACTTTACAGTGTGTTCTGTGAAGCGCTTTGGGACGTCCTCCCGACATGAAAAGCGCTATATCAAATGCAAGGATTATTATTATTATTTGTTCATTGTCATTATTTTGCAGTGTGCAGCCACATTGCTTCTGCAAAATACTGCAAAATACTGCGAGAGTTTCAGTGGGTGGAGATAATTTTAGAACCAAGCACTGTTCGTCAAATGAAATCCCTGAGCTCCATCTATTCCACAACTAATTATTATGTCCACCCACTCATACATTATTACTGCAGTCATCTCTTGTTAAGTGTTCATTGCAGATTGCAGTTAATCTACTTGGAAATTTCTTTAGCACATATTTATATCAAAATAGCAAAACACAGGTACTCTACAGCTCAAGTAAGTCCTATAACAATATAAATACAACAAATTGTTATGCAACTGCAGAAGAAATACTATATTTGATTTTAATGTGAAACTGTTACATTTTAGTGATGCTAAACAAAATTAATAATACAAAATCTTAATCTGCAATAGCATTTACTGAACAGTACAAAGCTAAATAGGGATATTTGATACATGTAGGTTTAGCAATAAAATTACCATTTTGCATAAAGGATTGATGGGCATTTGCCTCAACGTAAACAGTGTCATGTGTGAAGATTTTTTTAATTTCATGAGAAACCAGTATTGAATAGCTCCTTTCTGGAGGGCAAAATATATGTCCTTATCCAACAGCTTCTGGTGAAATTAAAAGGTGTTCTCAGAGTGGAACAGGTACCCAGTATTGATATTTATTTAAATGTAGTTGTTGAACAATGTCCTATTGTAAATTTATGTTATTGAGGCCTCACTAATCAGAAGGGAGTTTTGTTTTAGTTATTTTTAATCTTAATGAAGCCTCGCTCCCTCCTTCCCCATCTTCAGGTCTCGCCTGAAGACGTTCCTTTTTGACCGCGCCTATGGTCACCTTCTCCCTCCCCCTGGCTCGGTCTTGGGCTCCACCATTAAGCGCTTTGAAACGCCACCCGGTGTGGAGGGCGCTATATAAGTGCAAGTTGTTGTTGTTATGTAGGCTGACATTATTTGTTCAACAAAATATCTGTGACAAAATACGCATGGCTTTAAAAAGTCAAGTAAAGTTCTGCTTCAAAGAAAAACCCTTTGTGCTGTTCGTATCTCATTTTAATATACAGAAATAATTAAAAATGTCTTCAATTTTGTGCTTGCCATTTATCAGAGCATATTTGGCTCACCATCAATGTTCGACCAGTGAGAAAAGTACATGCAGGCGAAGAGGCTACTTGTACATGACTCAGATGATCTTTTCTTTCCTTTGTTAAATTTTTTTATAGATTTGGTTCACTGGTATCCAGAACACTAATAGGACCTGAAGTGGAATTAGTGTGAGGTAAACTTGTAAAGCCAATTATAGGCCAAACGGACAAATGTAACTAGTTATCAAATAGGTGCTGCATCTCCTTGTTGGGGGAGTTGGCAAAACATTTATTTTCTTATCACAAAATGTTTGTTATTAAGCTCAAAACTGTTCAAGACTTGATACTGCGTTAATATCTAAGAAGGCTCCCCTTGCACACAGGGTACAGTAGTTTGTCACCTGAAAACTATGATTGTCTCACATCTATCCCCTTTCTGTTCTTCAAAAGTATTCTTGTTTTTCTCCATTTTATTGATACATAATTTCTCCTCCAAGCTTAAGTACAATATCTAAATATTATTGTAGATGCTGTTTCTCTATCCTATATTCTCATGAAGTGGAAATCTAATCTCATCGCACGGTTTACTCAAATCATTTTTTTCTGAGACCTCAAGACCTGCCTTTATCTTTCTGAATTTTCCTTTTCTGCTGCTATCAACAACATTTAAAGCCCAATCTTGGAATCAACTAATCTGCTGCTACTTCATTTATCTAGTCTACTCTTCCAAATTGGTGTCCTTCTGCACCATGGGCTTTTGCCCTTCACCTAAAACAAAAGGAACACAAATAGACCACTTCACAACGAGCAGAACATAGTGCAGATCGGAATCTCTACACAATTGGTCATAGCCAGTGAAAGAGTTGATATCTGTACAGCTGATACTAGTTTACTGTAAACACATTTAAGGCACAAACTTGGCGAGTAATTAAAATCTTGTCTGAATTGTACCCACTCCAAGACAAAATAAACTCAATACAATTATAACATTTACAGCCATCAAAATGTTAGGCATATAGGTTTAAAAGAATCCCCTCTAGACTTTACAGGGCAAATAATTTAACTTTATGAACATTTAGTGCTTGTGTTAAAGGGATTTTTCTGGTGCATGCAAAATGGAGTTTAGGTTACCTGCAGTGCAAGAGGTTTCCATCTCATGTTCTTAAGCAAAGCAGGTGCAGAGGTGAGCATGCTCTGAGGTCGCTTCTTTAGGGTCAAGATGACCCCACTGGGATCTTCTCGAAGTGCATTTACCAAGTTTTTCAACTGCCACCCTACCTGGAACCCAACAGCAAAAATAAAAGGGATAAAACTACAGTACAACTCAAAGTAAAATTATGTCAATAATGTTATGATGGCAGTTTGCTCTAAATGATATATGAAAAAAATTGGCAATTTGTACAAATGAATAATAATAATCCTTGCATTTGATATAACGCCTTATCACGTCTTTGAGACGTCTCAAAGAGCTTCACAGAATATACTGTAAAATTAGTTGACTGTATATTTTGTGGGCGAAACGCGACAGCCGATTCCATAGAGCAGTGTCCCACAAACAGTTGTGGATTGAGTGACCAAATTTTTTTAAATGGGATTATTACCTGAAAAATGTTTTTGTCTAAAAATAAATTAGTGGAGCCTTTATCCCCCACATGAATGAAGAGTTGCAGGTGATTTTTGCCTAATTGACAATCGTAAAATAGCATCATTCTAAGTTTTCAGTTGTGCTTGTACATGTGTCCTGCAAACATGGTCATCTGCAATGTCATTCACATCACCACTATGTTTCTAGAAAGAAGAATTAAAAAAATTATTGAGTTCTATAAAAATAAGTGGACCCTTAAAAAGATAGCATGCAAAGTTATTCAGCAGCATCTGGTACACTGCCAACTTTCCTGTAGCCAATATGGAGTTTGCAGAACAGGAGGTTTCCCTCTCCCGGTTGTGGAATTGCTACAAAGATCTGTTTTGTCTTTTTAAAGCGTTATGTAATGGGTTCCTTCAACTGTGTCAACAATGGGATTTAATATCCACTTAATGAGTTTACATTCTCCACTCTGTCTTGGACATGCATAGCTGAAATTACTCAACTGATAGTTTTAGAAAATGTATAACAGTACTGACTACTAGATTATAAGTGCAAAATCAATCTGAGACAATTGGGGCATTGAAACATTTGTTTTAGTCTTTACATCATGACATTATTGCAGTATTATTCTTGAAGTAATTTCCAAACATTGTATCCAAATATTATTTTCTTTCTTCAACTTCCAGATCACCTTGTTTTGCAAACCATGGTCTTACACTTTTATAATAGGTTACTAATCTTTTAAGACATCTCTGGCATATAAACATCATAAAACTTTCTGTTTAATACTACTACCTACCACTAGTTTTATAATAAGTAATAATCCTTGCATTTACAACAAGTAGATACAATGATACAGATAAATATAAAGCTACAATTTATTTAAGTTTGAAGTCACTATCTCTTATCTCTTTACAAAAGGAGTATGCTACAATTTAGACTCTAAATTGAATATTCTAATGAAAATATATTATGTTCAACATATTTTCCACCTATATATACATAAAATATGGAGGGAATATTTAAGCGTTCCTTAAACTGAGCTTAATAATTTCAACAATTAATGGTGTTTAGTATATACAATTCCTCGCTTCATGTTAAACTTGCTGTAATATTCTGACTGATGAGGGTTCTTGGTCCAGAAAATGTTATTTCATAAATCAAATTCCTGCGGTTCCAAGGAATAATCAGTTAATATTGAGGCAGCTTCCGGTCAAACCAAATGGCCCATATTGCTGAACTAATGGAGCATGCAACTCCTCCTCACCAGTAATAATAGTGGAATGCTTTATAGATTGAGGAAGCATGCCAGATAAAAAAGTGAGAATTCCTTGTACAGAAAACATACATTTTCCCTAAATATATAGGGGAAGCATTCTGAACTAAAGCACTTATTGTATAGTTTTATTTCCCTTTAAACTAGCAAGAAATCAAAGCACATAATTTATGTTGCACTGGCTTATCAAGTCAGCATTTGGTAGAATGAACTGCAAGATATTCAGCATCAAGATTGGTGTTAATGGGGTTCCCAGTTCTGTTCTATGTTCAAATCTGACTTAAATTAGCTGGTAGGCACTCGAGATACAGTAGGAAAGTATTTTATTAATGATTTCTGAAAGTACTCATTATTCAGCTACCTTTCTTCATTTGACTTTTAAAAATTGGATTTGCAAAAGACTAGAGCCCTCTTTTCATTTACCTCAATTCAATGACATTTTAAGTTAATTGAAACAAAAAGCCAAGCTCATATTTCATACAAAGACAGAATGTTAATGTAAGAACCTTATACTTTTATAACCTTAACAGGAATTCAGAGCAACAATTAAAATATATTTCAAGGTGTAGCTGTTCTAACATTTAATTGGTATGGCAACAGATATATCAACTATTGTAATTAAGTTATTGTACAGTAATAATGCCCAGAAAATCACTGTATTAGTAAATAGGAAGGCACCATCCATTGTGTTTAAAAAAGAAAATATACTGAATGACACTGAACACTATCGTGCGATAGTAAGCTTTTATTGGACTAATTGGACTGAGTTTTACCTGTTGCTTTCAGACTCCTCTAGAATCAAACATCAGACAAGAAAATGTCAAATGCAACAATCCCAATAATGACACATTTCAATTAAGTTAAATATGTTATATATACTTTTGAAAAAATATGAACAAAAAAGTGTAACAAATTTTCCTGTGCCATTCCTGTGTGATCCCGTGATCTAAATTGCACAAGTCGCAATTTTTTCTTGCCACAAATGAACCTTGGATGCATCATGACCTGTAATTCTGCTGGAACGTCGATTTCAAAGAAGTTGGAAATGAGATAGATCTGTGTTTAAGCAGGGTTTCAGAGCATTGGCTACAGTATATCCAGGGTTCGCTAAGTATGAATGCCACAATTTAGACCCAATGTGCAGCATTCAAGAACAACTCAGTCTTCAACCCCCAACTCAAAACGACACTAATTTTTGATCTCATTTCATAGCAGTGGAGACTCCACAGAATTCTACAGGAATGGAGACTAGGTTACAAACCTCTTCTTGTTGACTTCCTTCAATAATAAATATCCTTACATTTGTAATTGCACCTTTCAAGAAAGGAGAGTGTCTCAAAGTGCTTCACGGGATTTACTTTTAAACAAGATTTGTAGCATGTTGGTAGATAATAAAAAAAAACTCAAACCAGTTGATCATCAAATAAAGAATGAAAAAGTCAAAAAGAAAAGATCAAAAAAGTGTGAATATCTTAAAAAAGAAAAATACAAAATTTGTTAAATTCCAATCCCAATGGGAAAGGGAAGGACAGAGAAGGAAAATGTCTCAAAGCACTTCACACATTCTGAACTGTCAAAGTTAATGATTGTTTTTGTAGGCAAATGCAGCAGACATTTGCTGTATCATAAGGACTATGTTAGGAATGGGATTGAAGCTGACAGAGATAAATAATCAAGATTATCAGGTAGTACATTAGTACTATGATGGTTGTGCTGCTAGCTTTTCCTCCAGCAATTAGTAGGCTTTTCTCCCCTGCCTAAATGGCTTGAGTTGAGTTCATAACAGAGAAAATCATACACTGTGTGATAAGAACAGTATTCTATTCATCAAATGATCTAGCGTTAGGTCTCAATCATAAGATTTTCATTGAGGAATTCAGAATGTACAAAATTTGACAAATTCTTTTTTAAAAAAAGCTTTGACTGTGAAACCAGTTTTGTACAAGTTCTTTTTGGAAAAAAAACAACTTCTAAGTTAAGACTGAATTCAACTATTTGTCAAATTCTGGATGCTCTAAAATGCTACATAAATAGAGTAAATCTACACGAGGGTGGCATTTCTCCCCCACAGTCTTTCAATATGGAGTTAAACAATTATTGTTTTATGACAAATAGCTTTCCTTCTTTTCTACCAACAATTCTGCAAGCTTATTGAAATATAGTCCAGATAAAGTCCAGCTTTCCATAATGAATCGCACAAACAGGACATCTCCTTTTTTTGGCATCTTGTTTCATCCACATTTTCCAAAGTGTCCTTCAAGGAAAGAAACTGCAATCAACTACACATAAATTAGACACAACTTAGTATTTTGTGAGGAGGTTGATCACATCTCCTTATTAACCACTAGTCTCAATGGATGCTTACACTTGCAGGATTGATAAAGGAAAGTACAACTAGTACTGCTTGGCCCTCAAACAAACTATCTTTCTGCATTTTCAGGTTGTGCCTGAAGACCTTTCTATTCGACAGGAGGCATGGTCGAATAGGAAGGTCTTCAGGCACGACCTGAAAATGGGGAAGGAAGGGGTAAGGCGGAGATATAGAGGAAGAGTGTTCCAGAGTTTCGGGGCATAGCCACTGTACAGTCAATTCACTATATCGTATATTCTGTGAAGCGCTTTGAGATGCTCGAAGACAGGATAAGGTGCCATATCAAATGCAAGGATTATGTCCCAGTATTTATACTTTATACGAGCCTCTAGCCCTCCTACTCTCCTCTATTCCCTTCTCCCTCATACATGCATTAAGTTTCTTCTTAAATACATTGATAAATACAATAAAAAGACTTCTACCATACAAACAACTTGTTAAACATTTCTCAACACAATAAAAATTTCAGAAGGAAAAAAATGCATACTTAAATACTTTTTTCTGTTTTTCTTACATCCTGTGACCTGTTATGTGATATTCAATTTGTTGTTGAGCTACTCAGAGACACAACTTTTTACCCAGAGAGTTGTTAAGGAATGCACTGCCTGAAAAGGTGCTGAAAGCAGATTCGATAATAGCTTTCAACAGAGAATGAGATAGGTACTTAAAAGGAGGAATTTGCAGGGCTATGTGGTAAGAGCGGGGGAGTTGGACTAGTTGGTAGCTCTTTCAAACTCTTGGCACAGGCACGATGAGCCAAATGGCTTCCTTCTATGCTGTAGAATTCTATGATTCTCTTTGATAATTAACTTCCAAGTGCTGGAATGTGTGAGAAATGAGAGTCAAGAAGTTGTCATACAATACAAAATTACATTTGTAAAGCGCTTTTCATGCAGGGTAGAGTCCCAGAGCGCTTGACAGTGGGGGACCACAACTCCGAGCCAGGGAGGGGAGGTGACAGTAGGCACGGTCAAATAGAAAGGTCTTCAGGCATGACCTGAAAATGGGGAAGGAAGGGATAGAGGAAGAATGTTCCAGAGTTTCGGGGCGTAGTCACTATACAGTCAATTCACTTTACACTATATTCTGTGAAGCACTTTGAAATGTCTCGAAGAATGATAAAGCGCTATATCAAATGCAAGGATTATTATATTATTTTATTAGAATATTTCCAGTATAACAATGTGCAAGTTAAAATGTATAGAACTGGTTCACACCCAGGAGTCTGGAATAGCACAGACTTAAAAACAATATATGAGTATTATTGAGAGGTACAAAACAAGCTGGATTGAGGTTTCTTTTTAAAAAAAAGTGGTTGAAAAGTTGCTTGTACCACTATTTTTCTTTACCTGAATTGCAACTAAATATTTCACTTTCTTACTGGACATTTTTGTTGGTCAATTAATTTCAATATATTTCACAAAGGTAAGCTGAACTAAAACAATTATTTCAAAATAATACACCAGAAGATAGAGGCTAATTATACCACACTTTATAGTAATAAAGCTTAGGTCAAACTTAACTACAAGTACATAAAAGCATAAAATAATGACAAATTGAGCTGCCATTGCTCCTGTAACTGAACTATTTTCCAGCAGAAAATATTTTCACTGATAGATTTTTTTTCTTAATAAAAATGCCCATAGGGTCATAAAACACATATCATTTAGATATGATCACAATTAGTAGTCTGCACCATACACAAACTGATTCTGATATTGGCTGTAGAAGAAATTTCATATTTGCAATTTTCATTCACTCAGTATGCATTCAAAGCACACCTTGGCTGTGATACTTGTGAATTATACATTCCCCACATCTGTGAAACAGACATAAATCACCATCGCTTGTGGTATCTAATGTTTACTCATTACCAACATCTCCTAAGAGATTGCGGAGTCATTAGCAAGATCTGAAGGGCTTCCTCTTTTGTGCATTCCCAGATTTCCTAATTATAACTTAAGACAATTTCTGGAAATGATGATGCTCAGCAAGCTATAATTTACACTCAGCACTCAAAATAGATGCCAAATTGCAGCAAAATGATCCCATTTTTCTTTTATGGTTTCCGACTGATCAAATATATTAATGACCTAATTACTGTATTTCTATACTGTAGAAATGTAAACTATTATTCTGTCTTGTAGGAGAAGATAATGGGAATGGGCCCATAGCACAACTCCAAACATGAACCATTTCTATTTTCATCCAGTAAATTAATCAGTGCTTTTCTGCATAATCTATCTAAAATCAGGAATGGGGGAAAAGAGAATAATTGATAGTGTGAAACCATTATTAACTGTAAATAAGTCAACAGCATGTCCCATTACCAACATTTGCATTTCAACATAGAAAAAGAAAAAAATAGACTAAATTAAATTCTGAACTTTTTAAAATAATGATCGCAAACACTAATTCGATTTCTAAACCTACATAGCTTATTTTCAAATCATTCTACAGACATTCACAAATATTAATGTCTTCCTAATGAAAGATTCCTTCCACATTTTAAATTGACTTGGTTGAAATGGTCATATTCTTTTCTACAAATTTGAATCAAAGCCAAACATTAAGGCCCAGAATGTCACAATGGTCACTCATTTAAGAAGATAGGTTTGCAAGCAGCTGGTATATCAGCACGATCTGCCAAAAGAGACAGTCCAACCTTGTTATTAAAACTGTGTGAGGTCCAAGATTCTAGGTCCGATCAGGGGTTTGACTCTTGATCTCAATGCACAGCTAAAAGAAATGCAACGGTTTCAGCTTGCAGAATATTACTTATGACTTGAATCACTCCTCTGGGATTGTGATCATGTTGATGATGCAAAATTCATGGTAGATTGCATAAAAGGATAAAAATATCCAGCAATAAATTGGTAGGACAACTTTACAAGATAACAGCACATTACTACAGATAACTGAAGATAAGACAACCTTCAATGCTATCTTTGTCATATTATATACAATTTTTTTTATTCATTAAATATTCAGTTGTTGAGTGGAACAGCAACAGATGCTGACGTGTGTGAATGTTAAACTCTGTGTGACTTTAGCAGGCATGTAATACTGATAACCTGATGTTACCTCAAACTTGTAGGCATTACAAATGGTTTGTAACCAACTATAATTGAATGTTTGCCTTGGAAAAGTTCAAGTTTCAAAGACCTATAAAACTTGATCTAGGAGTGGGGGGGGAAATGCTTATTAAAAGAGGTGAATAATTTCTTACCACAAGGTTTGACCTGATTAGCTAAATATACTTAATTTACTATTAAAGTGACATTTTTATGTTGATTTCAGTAAAATTCCTGAGCCTAATATAATTTGAAAGATATGCTTGTTGTTTGATCAAAGACCACATACTCATCAACACAGGGAAACAGGTTAATAATAAGAAGAAACAAGTTAATGATTGCTGATTCAATAACAACGCATTGTAAATAATGTGTTAAAGTTAAAGTTACTGTATTTAACTTTTTTTTAAAAAAATTAAAAATGCAGAAACTCATATTATGAAAGCTGACTCTACAGCACAGAGTGTTTTCCAGACACCTCAAAGCTGCAGATAAATCCTCAGAGAAAATGTTTTCTGTTTTTTCTGAAACCCAAATTGATAAAAACTCCCCATTGAGGCAAAAAATTGCACTTAAAGGACGAGATCAATAAGTATCATCGGGGTTAAATTACATACATATATAGTCAAAGTGAAAAAAACAAACCAAAAGATGCAAATGGAAATTAATGAGAATCAATTTGGAATCTGTAGCAAATTCTTAAGTTCTTATGTTCTTGATATCTTCCCCTCAAAATAAGTCCTCAATTTTACACAAACATCTTCTGCAATAACTTTCCATTATTAAAAGTTGATAGTCTGAATACAAACAAAGATAACAGGATGAACAGAAACTCCATTCAGATAGAGTGCACAATGATTCCTTTTTCTACATCCTCAAACATATAACTGTTCGACCTGGAAAAGCACTAACCAAAGCAAATGGTACATGTCAGCAGTACATTACTCTTGAGATAAACATGTTGCGTTCATTTTGCATTTAACTTCACATAACAATGTTAGCAATAGGGAAAAGGCCATTAAGCCCAACAAGTTTGTTTTTCTTTGATAACTTTCAAACCCACCTACCTGCCTTCTCACCATATTTGTAAAGCCTTGTTGCTCCAGATACACATTTAGTTGCTTCTTCAATCCATTTATATAACTTGTTTCAGTGGCAACCTCAAGTAATTTATTCCACAAGTTTACTTACCATTACATTGATATGTTCCACCCTTCTTCCTCTTAATGTTTCTAATTAATTTGTGTGCCCATAAATGCCTTAATGTTAAACTTCAGAATATCATGCATTTCTTGAGCCAAATAGGCTATGATTTGGACTGCAAAATGGAAGTGTTCTGCTGATACAATACAATACTAGTTTCAAAAACTAATAAACAAGCTTTAAAATCTTTGTTTGAAGAGTAAAAGTAGCCAGAAATTGAGAAATGTTTTCTTAACGACTTCTCATTTGCAATCAATAACTAACATCTATTGCTGTGCCAAGAATGCAAACTTAACAAAACAAAGTATTTTATAACAGATAATCAAAACAAACCCCAGCTCCAGAAAAATATTAGATCAAGACTTTCTGTGATACCTACCACAGTTTGATGATTGACCTGAATAACTTCATCACCGGCATGGATTTTCTTGCAACGATCTGCAGGAGACTTTGTGAGGAGGGGAAAAGATTTAAGAACCAGTCAAGGTGAAATATCAATAGCACAGGGTGAAATAAGCAAATTGCACTCACTTTAACTTTTTCAATTTCCCTTCTTGTCATTTCGCATAAGTACACAACCAACCTTTGCTTAATTCAGAGAGTATTAGGCACACATTGCAGTTTGTTACTTGTGGCAGAGTGTGTCCCTGCATGGGTCCAAATCCCTGACTGTCCAGTGCCTTGGAACGTCCTCCCAACGTGAAAGGTGCTACACAATTGTAATTTGTTTGCTGCTGCTGTAAGAGTGCACATTCCATTCCAGGCATTGGAATTTGCATGTGAAGGTGGCACCAATAAAATGAGGTGCTGAGTACTGGAAAGATGATAGCTGACTGAAAGATGAAAACCAAAGAAAAGAAACACGAGATGGTAATAGAATAAAGAGCCCAACTACTGCCTCTTCTAAAACAAGCAGCCAAGGTGATAACAACACACCATAAGCCAGCATATACATTTGCAGAGAGAGACAAGGCGTAAATAAAATGTAACAGAAAATAAAAGTTTGAAAATCAATTAAATCATAGAATCATAGAGCACAGAAGGAGGCCATTTGGCCCATTGTGTCTGTGCCGGCTCTTCGAAAAGAGCTATCCAAGTCCCTCGATCCAACTCCCCCGCTCTCTCCCCATAGCCCTACAAACTTGTCCTCCCCAAATAATTATCTACTTCTCTCTTAAAAGTTGTTATCGAATCGGTTTCCACCACCCTGTCAGGCAACGCATTCCAGATCCGAACAACTCGCTGCGTGAAAAAAATTCTCCTCAGCTCCCCTCTGTTTCTTTTAACAACTATTTTAAATCGGTGTCCTTGGATTATTGACCCACCCGCCAGTGGAAAAGGTGATTCATCTGTTGTTTTCATTTTCTTTCCAGTATGTATTTGGAATTGTTCTTGTTACCAAAAACCTTGGTGGGCCAAATGGCCATTTCATGTTCCATTTTTCCGATGTTCTTACAATGTTCCTCTCTTTTGCATTTGTTTCTCGTGATTAGCTTTTCTTATCTCAAAGCCATCTGGTCAACACAGCAGCAGCAGAAGTTGTCAGAAATGAAATTTCAAGTAGGAGCTTCTGTGACTCTGCATGGATTTCTGCTCTGAGCAGTGAGCCAATAACATGGTAATTCTAGCATGCATTTCTGATTTTAAATGATTATCACTTCACTGCAAAGATCACTAATTTACATAGAACTCTCTTCTCTTGACCTGTGCAATTAAACAGTGGTCAATTTTTAAAAAAATGTTTTATCAAATTGACAAGGTTATTAAATTTGGTGCAAAGCAGTCTTCTCAACTGCGCACAAAGGCAAAAAGAAAAATAGTGAAAGTATTTAACAACTGTGTTAGTTTAAATGACTGCTGAATGAAATAAGAAAGTCTGAATCACCATTTACAAATTTTAAAAAGGCTACAATGAAAATTTTTTTTTAGAAACTTACATTTTCGGTTGTTCCAGTTATCACATGTAGCCCATCATATGTTGATTTGATGTACATCCCCTACAATTATACAGACACAAGTAACATGACAGAAATAAACAAATGGACATCCCTTACTTATGACAACTACTCTTAAAGTGGAGTTTGAGTTCAATTTGATTCCCTTAAAATTGAATATTCTCAACTAAAACCCCTTAGAATTGGGAAAATGCTGTATTGTTGACCGTAAAATACTCTCAAGTCTAACAATTCTGGCTTTAAGTATTACTTAATCCTTACTAAACCTTCCTTCCATATATCACAACTCAAAGGCCAAAGAATTGCACAATTAGTCAGTCAATGTAGAAACACATGTCAGCAGTGTCAGCTATACAAGTCACTGAAACTGCAATTCTAATGGGATGGTTAATTCATTAATACTGTGTATTGTATATCTAGTTTGCAAATATACCTCTAAACCTCCCAACACAGTGCTTTAAATGCCAACTAATAAAAAGGTATGAGGCCAGAAGGATTGATCAAGGTGACAGTGATTGGAGGGCTCCGTTTCTGGTGTTCCTGAGCTAAGGATTCACAGTGTTTGCAAGAAGGAGCCTTAATAAAACGCTGTGGTTGGATCCATAAAATCCCAACACATCACAAGGTGCGATAGCTGATTTCACTGTGCTTGCTCACAGCTGGATAGCTCAACCTTGCATGCCAGCCATTTTCCCCCAATCTCACTTCCTGTGTGTTGCAAAGCAAGAAGCGATTTCAACAGCAACCTGCTGACCCATAAATCAGCTATTATTATTATTACTATTATCATTACAGAGGAAGCTAAAAAGGCCGATTTCTGAGTCATCAGAACTCTGCTGACATCAGTTCCTGTAATGACCTGGAAGTTGGCCCCTTTAGTGCTAAAGTTGGTTGGAGTGCACAAAGTACACAAATGCCATCCACAATGCAACCATGTTATAACCAAATCCATGTTATAAAGAAAGATCATAACAGGCTTGCCCTGTACTTTCTGTCAGCATACCATTCTAAAATTTACTTCCCAGCACTGGTATCTTTTAACTTGTGAAAAAAAAGACAGAATGAGTATGGGGAACCCTAAAATACAAAATTATTAATTACATCTCCATTTCCTGCATCATCTTTCAAAGATCTGTAATTTTAATGTCACTAGCTCAACTAGTAAATCCAACACAACATAAAACAAAATCTAACAATAATCCTTGCATTTGATATAGTGCTTTTCACGTCTTCTAGACGTCTCAAAGCGCTTCACAGAATATACTGTAAAGTGAATTGGCTGTATATTTGTGGTTGAAACTGGCAGCCAATTGCGCACAGCAGTGTCCCATAAATACTCGTGGATGGAGTGAATAATTTACTTATTATTATTTTTTTCTTGAGGGATTATTATTCCCAGAGTAAGTCTATTCTGAGTAAATCTACTCTGCCAAATATATTGCCTTTCATCAAGGAAATGTCTGGAAGGTTCAAACACTTTAATGAATGTTGTAGAGTATATGCTGCAACACAGAGTTACTATATCAAAATAATCAACAAATGTATGCCATACATGTTAATCAGAGTGATCAATAAATCTGTTCTTCCAACCTTGAACTGCAGTATAATGCACAAATTATGGTGTGCACAGACTGAATACATTTAGGTATCGAAATCACTGAAACAGGTTTATCAATTAATAAACAAGCTTAATTCAAAAGTCAAAAATTGAAAGCATGAAAGAATTGCACAAAATATTTTAATTAACTGTCTAAATTGCATTTCTGTCATGCAATACTGAAACAGGTTTACGCAAAATTCGTGCTATTTATGAAGTACATTGATTTTAAATATTAGTTTTTCACATGCTACTAAACAGAATGGTTTAAATTAATATGCAGATGAGAGGATGGATCATTTTTCTTGGCAGGTGTAACCGGAACATTAGCTACCATAACATTTTGGACTGTCTATAATTATTCAAAAAGAATAGACAAGCAAACAGTGATGCACTTTACATATCATGAAGCTGATCTGACTTCAAATCTTAATTACTTTGAATTCTGTTCGCTGCACAATATCAAAGTGTTATTAATACTGCTTTCAGTTGTACCAGAACTCAATTACAAAGAGCTACAATATTTCAAACAGTCTTTTACTCTTTTTGAGTAAATTAACTTCAAAAGAATACCTCTGCTACAAACCAAATATATTACAAATATCTGTAGAATAAAATAGATTCTTACATTTGATATAGTGATCACAATTTCTAAACATCTCAATTGCTTCAGCATTTTATTACAAGTATAGCAACTAGGTATTTGTAGGTGAATGCGACAGCCTATTTGTGCAGGATTTATATTGAACTCATGGCACTAACCTCATAACTTACTTGCAACTTTATCACTCATAATTCCTGAATTTACTCATGGGAGATAAATCTTTTCTCATCAGATTTTAAAGGCCCCCTAACGATTGTGATATAGTTATTTCCAGCTTCTCAGTTTCCGCCACTATTTTTAGTTGAATAAGCACCACCTTTGAAATCCTATTAGTAAAACTGGCTTCCCTTTAGGAACCACAATTTTACAGACATATAAGCGCATTTATTGATGTTACTAATCCGTTGAGATCTGCTATTCTCCATAAATCCAGAATCTCATCATGAATAAAATATACTTACATTTTAAGTCATAAACTGTCAAAGAAACTAACTCAAAAGTACTGACCCGATAAAATATTGTGTATGAAAATGGATGGAGTTAAGGGAAAGATGCTTTGTTAATATTATCAAATTTTCAACAAATCAAACTGCTAACATTTAGCTGGACTATTACATTCTTACTGGTACTGTATAATGGTACCAGTAGAACTGGGGCAGTAGCAAGAGCTGAACACTTGTACCTATAGCAACACTCGCTACACTAAACCAAAAAGGGATAGGTTTCTTGGAAAACAACTCTAGGACCCATCAAGGAACTACATTTGCAAGACTGCCAGTAAAGTAACAAGAGAACTTATCTCACCCTACCCTCCCCCCCCCCACCAGTACCTCTCAAGGGGGTAGTGACTAGTTGATACCATTCAGAACATAAGTTTGTGTTATTGATGGCTGCATACCATGGAGGAATATCAAAGTTGTGCTAATTAATACTATCCATGTGCCCCATAGCAAACTATTTGAAAGCCTCAATTGAAAGTCACATGACACAAAGTGGGCCCTATTCTGCCGTATGGCACACGGGTCCTTGAGGCATACTTCCAGGAGTCAACATTGAGTAATCTATTTACACATCATTTAGCAGTGGTTCCTTAATTTTCACCGTGTAACAGTGAAATTCAGAAGAGAGAAAGTGAACAGACAGCTCAGATTCAATTACTTTAAGCAGAGAGTAATGAATGCATGGAATATACTACGGTTCCAAGTAGGCAGATTGTGTTAGCAGATTCAAAAGGGAATTAGAGTTATTTGTCAAAGAAATTAATTGAAGGGTTTGGTACATGGAGTAGTATACAATTTGCATTACTTTGGGACCAGCCAGAAGGACTGTAATGCTTTTTTCCGGTCCTGTACATTGCTATGTTGCAATCACTTAGCTCTCAGTAGTAAGCTGTTCAAACCTAAATACTGTGGACACATTTGGGCCAACCTATTTTACATTTAAAGTAGTTCTCACACGAAAAAGCATCAGAATTCCTTTAAAAATAAAACCCTCAGATAGCCTCTAACAGACCCATTTTAGTAGTGTTATAACTACAGCGATTTCAAACAACATTTAGCTAATTACTGAAATTGCACATTTTGGAGCTGCATTCATGATACGTCAAGAAAGGAAATGCAACTACACTGATCTCAATTTATTTCGTTGATGGCTTCATATGAAAGTCATAGGGTGGAGCTGGTTAATAGGATTCTCCCCTTCTACAGCAAATGATGATTGTGCCAATGGTAGTGGAGCTAAAATTACTCTAAAAACACCCGTGCTTAGAACTCCAAAACGGGAACTTGCAAAGACTGTGGATCTTACCAATCCTTCACTGGGCTTGATGTTTGTCAGCTGGACCACCTCCAAATGAGCAGACTGAGAAACCAGTGGGTCAGAAGACAGAGAGATAATGTGGTCACAAACCCCCGACAGTGTTTTACACTGTGACAGAAAGAGAAAACAGAAAGAAAGACACATTTGTAAAGAACAGGAAATCAAAAAGACAAAGTAATTTAAATGGCTTTCATTCCAGTACATCTTAAATAATTATACTGTTGCAAATCAATCAATACCTTTCCTTTATATTTCTCCACTGTGTGGTTTAGATTGTAAACTATTTGTCTAATATTCCCATAGAGGTCCACAATAGTGGTGATAAACAAATTATCAAAATAAAAATAAACGGATGTTAACACTCCAAATTAAACAAAGCATAGGTTTTTGTGTAAAGATATTTTGTTTTAGTGAAGATGTAAAATCTGCATCTGTTCTTGTGATTGAAGGGCAAATTTAGGAGTGATATAATTGTTTCTCTGAGCCAGGGTGTGAGCCATGGGAATGCAAGCATAGGATCAAAGATGCTTAAATTGAGGGTAGCTGCAATGAAACAGAATCTAATGCCACCTGATGTTTCTTGTCTAGGATTCTGGGCAGTAGGAAACAGTGAGATAACAGATCAAACACCATTCCACGGGACAAAAAGACCTCCCTTACTTAGAATTTTGCAAGCTTCACATTTTCTGAAGTGAAAAGGATTAGTTTTGAATTGCTCGATGATACAACTGGCACTGTCTAAATATCCATTTTTGTGTGTTAACCAATGTACCAGACTACAGTGCACCAACTTGATGTAGTGTAGAAATGGACAGCATCATATTCTACTCAGAGATCAAGGTTAATTTCCAGCCTGGTCACTTGGTACACAAATGCTGATTGACTGAATAATCTTTTCAATTGGGAAATACAAGCATAATCTTCATTATAATATGTTTTGTGATCTTTTCACTCTTCCAGAGACTAGTCTAGCAAACAAGATCACAACAAAAGGTTAGTGCATGGCAATGGAACATCATGTCTGATTCACTCAATTCATTTTATGCATTGAGATGGGGGTCATACCCTCAGGTTTCCATAAAGTTATCTCATTATTCCCATTAAGGGAAAGGAGCAAAGTCATGAGTAGATTCAGGAATTCAAGAGAAGATCAGAAAACAAATCACTCCCACATGCAGAGCACCAGCTCGATACAGAGTCTGGGGAAGAGAGAAAATTTAGTGCCTGTTCCAGTGTTATGATTCTTGTTCTTCACCGTTAATATAAAGAGCTGTCATGATCTAATAAAATGGTCGAGCAAGCTTGACGGGCAAAATAAGAACTGAAGTAGATAATCCCACCCATCAAGCCTGCTCACCACCTTCAACAGAATAGAGACACATTAAGGTAATAGGCCAAGCCGGCATAGGTTCGTATTGTAAATCACAAGTTTACAAGCTTCCAGAACCAGGGAAATATTTCTTTACCCAGAGAGTAACTGACAAGGTGATTGAGGCTAGAGCACTGGTCTCATTCAAGAAATAGCTTGATAGTGTAATAGGAAGGTGGTAGGATTCGTAAGAGGAGGGATGAAATTAAATGGAACAAATCTCTCGTGATATTTAGAAGCAAAACTATGACAAAACAAATGTCATCACTCTTGGCAGAAAAGACTAAAATACAATTTAAGTCATAGCTGAACTTAAATCCCTAACTGTAAGAAGAATGTGGTGCAGCTGTAATACAATTCATACAATGTTCCTTAATTTCTCCAAAAGGTAGGCACAACAGGCACTATCCAAGTATTTGTCACCTCCCGCCTTAATTATTCCAATACCCTCCTCGCCAGTCTCCCGGGCTCCACCATTCACAAAATCCAACTAATTAAAAACTCCATTGCACGTATCATCACCTACACCAAACGCCGTACGCCCATCACCCCAGTCCTTGCCAGGCTCCAATGGCTCCCTATTATAGAACAGATCAATAACAAAATCCTCGCACTCATTTACAAATCACTTCATGCCCTGGCGCTTCCCTACCTCTCTGACTTGCTTATACTCCACTTCACCACCCACCGCCTCTGCTCAGCTGGCTCTAGCTTCCTGCTTCTACACTCCACTATTGGCAATTTGTGCCGTCACCCACTAAGCCCCCAAGCTATGGAACTCTCTTCCTCAGCCCCTCTGCCTTGCCTCCTCCTTCCCCAACACCCCCCACCCCACCCCTGCGCACCATCTTGTGCGGTGTTCCTCAGAGCTCTGTCCTCTCCTCTTCAATCTGTACATGCTCCCTCTTGGTGACATCATCCGCAGACATGGGGTCAACTTCCACATGTATGCGAATGACACCCAACTCTATCTCTTTGCCTCCACCCTCGACTCCAGGACCATTGATGTCCTGACAGAATGTCTGTCTGACATCAAGTCCTAGATGGAAACCAACTTTCTACATTTGAATGTCAGCAAGACCGAGGCTCTCCTGATTGGCTCACACCAGCGCCTCCGCACCTAAGGCACTGGTAGCATCAGCATCCCCGGATGCACACTCCAGCTCACCAAGGCAGTCAGGAACCTAAACGTCTTGTTTGACCCTCAACTGTCATTTCTCCCCCACATCAGTGCCATGACCTGCTCTGTATTCCCCTACCTCTGCAACATTGCCCGACTCCACCACTGCCTCACCCCCAGGGCGCCGAAACCCTGATACATGCCTTCATTACAACCAGGCTTGACTATGCCAACGACCTGCTTTTCGGCCTCCCCAAATCTTCCCTGCACAAGCTACAGATCATCCAGAACTCTGCAGCTCATGTCCGCTCCCGCCCCAGGCCCCATGACCCCATCACACCCACCCTCGCCCTGCTCCACTGGCTCCCCAGCCCTTAGAGGATCGAGTTCAAAATACTCATCCTCACCTTCAAGACCCTCCACGGTCTTGTCCCTTCCTACCTCTCCAACCTGCTAACCCCTAATCAACCTGTCCGTTCCCTCCGCTCTGCAGGCTCCGGCCTGCTCCATGTCCCCACCCTGCACCTCACCATCATTGGTTGGGCCTTCAGCCTCTCCTCTCTGGAACTCCATGCCACATATCCTTTGCCTCGCTTCCTCCCTCCCTTGCCTCCTTCAAGGCACGTCTCAAGACCCTCCTCTTCGAACATGAATTTCAGCCACCCTCCTACCCTCTCTGCCCTCCACCCTCACTGATCCCAAACCTCACCCACCTCCACTTGATTCCTAATCCCTGACTGTTGAGCGCTTTGGGACATCCTCGCGACGTGAAAGGCGTTTTACAAATGTAATTTTGTATTCAGATCACTCTGAAAACCTTCCTCTTTGACCGTGCCTAGTGACCCTGCACCCCCGGCAGCTTGGTCCAAAATGCTCCGAGATGCTACTCTGGGTGTAGGGTGCTGTATAAAATGCACATTGTTGTTGTTAGATACTAATAAAACATTTTCAAAGTAGTGAATAATTCCAAGTGATTAATTTATAAGCAATGTACATTACCTCATTACCAATTATCAAAAATTAATGCATCTAATTGTAATTACGTGCACGCATATCAGATGGTTTGATCACAAGGGTAAAACATGGGTATTCAATTAGCCCATAAATTTCAATACTAACTTCACCCAGCTGTAACTGAACATCCGCAGTCCAATTCCATTTCTACAAATAGTCCTTTCCAAATTTGCATGTAAAGCAACATGACCCAACAAAACTCCTACCAATATCTTGAAGTCTTTATTATCACTATTATATCATTATGTTATTGTATTATTATTGTTGTATTATTATTATTGTATCATTATTGTATTATTATTATTTTATTATTGTATTATAATACAACATAACCCTTCACTTCCTGGCACCGGCCTCCTGTTTGTCCATCGCGCCCTCTGCTCTACCATTAGAGGTCGCTCATTCACCCACTATGCCCCAAAATTCTGGAACACTCCTCCAATCCTTCTGTCTTGCCCACTCTCTCCCCATTTTCAAGTCCCACCCGAACACCTTCCTTTTCACCCGTGCTTTCGTTCACCTCCCCACGCCCACCAACCTGGCTCGAAGTCAGTCTTCGCCATTGTTTAGCACTCTGAGACGCTACCCTGCATGGAGGGTGGTATATAAGTTGTTGTTGAGTCTGGATTGACTGCACATTTCAAATCCTATTTGTTTCATTTGCTTTAACGCTAGGAAATTGAATGAATTCTGAATATTCAGCTTGAAATGTTTGCCATTTGGAGTCTAGATACTGCATGGTTTAAACTTTAAGCAACTAAATTTATGCAATCCAATTAACTAGATCAGTCAAAACTTTCTTATTCAGACTAGGTTGAAGTTTATCTAACTCAGATAAAAAATAAAGATATACTCACAACATGAAGAATCTTGTTTTCAGTTTCATAAACAGTGCAGTCCTGCAAAGGGAAACAAAGAACCCAACTATTAATTAGTACAATGAGGTTTTAATAGCCATGCCCAAATGCTTTGGAAGTTGGTAAATGGAGACATTAAGACTCAACACATGAAGAATAAGATACAAGGAAGTGATTTCAATCAATATTATGATTAAGGTACACCAAAAGATTATTCCACAAGTTATCCAAAGGTTGGATCTTCTGAATCTAGCATTTTCAGTTTACAGGAATATAAAGCTTTTCAATTCTGAACCATTGATCAGGTAAATTCCAGTGCTGTAGTGAGGTATTACACACCTTTTCCTTTCAGACTCGAGTCTGATTTGGCAACTACTGGTATTATAACTGCACTCCTACATTTATCCTTTATACATCATCTACAAAACAGTCATTACAGAACAGGAATTACTGTGAAGCACTTTGAGACATTTTGGCCTTTAAAGGTGCTATAAAAATGTAAGTTCCTTTAATCAGCAGCTGTTGGAACTCTTCGCTTTTGGTTTGACAGTGCAATATTTCAAGAGTATCATGATTCTACCTTTATTCTTTTTTAGAACCAAAAATCAAATCATGATTTAATTAAGCTTCATGATCTCTCAACGTGCACCCCACATTCTGAACAAAATGAGCAGATTAACTGGGAAATGAGGCGAGTCTCATCTCATCTTCCCTTATCTACAGTAGCAGCATCTGTCATAAATCACTCACTGGCTTTGAGCCACATTACTCTCAGGTATTTGGAGAGATCATTTATTTTGTCATTTCATGGTTTCCTTTCCAGCCGAGTGGCACAAGGATTGCAAACTGCACTGGTTTGAGATCTACATAAAAAGGATCATCAAATGTTAAGATATGACCATAATCGGAGCAAAATCTGGTGCCATTTTTGAAATATAAAATCTTGCTTCACTTTTAGCAAGCTTGTAGGATTGTTTATCCAGAATTGGATTTGAACACAGGATTTTATGATTCATTGACAGCAGTTACTAAAACTCTAGCATTTGCCGATGTAATGTAACATTCTGTATGTTGCTGCTGCAATTTGAAATGTTGGTTCCTTAAAAATACTGCTTCTTCATTCAGTAAGGCTGGCTAATAAACAGCAGCAATAGGATCTCTGAGTAATGGACCTACTGTCCACCCCTCACTGACCACTGGGTATCAGCTCAATCTCACACTGACCACTGGACCAACTCTACCCCTTACTGATCACTGGATCTCCACTCTTCCTTGATGACCACAGGATCTCTTCTCCATCCCTCACTAAGCACATGATCTCTATCCTTCATGGACCACAGGATTGTGCTTTGATGTACTTGCACAATACAAGCAGTACATCAATTGTTACTGTGTAATAATCAAGTCAAAATGTCTCAAAGTACTTAACAGGCAATTACAGTATAATCAAATACAGTACAGCGATTGTGTTTTGTAGGCAAACAAGGATTTGTACCCGCAACATCTCGCAAATTACCATAAAATGAATGACCAATTAATCTTTGAACGTACGTAATTTGGACCCTTTGGTGTTTCAGTAAGTTATAAAAAATGAACAAGTACTAATATCCAGTCATTTATCTGCAGAATCATACAAATTTATATACTATGTAGTGGTCCTCACCTTGTGGACAACAACAATAAACAACGACAAATTGCATTTACATAGCGCCTTTCACATCAGGAGGATATCTCAGGACACTGGACAGTCAGGGGGTTGCACCCAAGCTATGGGCTAGAGTCAAGAGGCGGGCAGGGCAAGGGTGGTGGCGGTGGGAAGATGACCAAAGGTGCGGTCAAAGAGGAAGGTCAAACAAGCTGACAGGACTTCAGCGGACTGGGAGTCACAGCTGGAGGAGGAGTAGAAGATTTGGGTGGTGTCTACATAAATATGGAAGTTGACCCCATATCTGAAGATGACATTGCCGAGAGGGAGCATGTAGATACGGAAAAGAAGGGGGCCCAAGGATGGAGCTATGGGGTACCCCGCAGGTGATTGGGCGAAGGCAGGAAGAAAAACCATCTGCCGAGATGTAATATTGGCGATTTGTTAAGTAGGACTCGAACCATGCGAGTGCAGTCCCACTAAGGTGGATGAGGAGGAGAGGCGGTGGAGGAGGTGTGTGATCAACTGGTGTGTTGAATGCGGCGGAGAGATCCAGGAGAATGAGGAGGCAGAGGGAGCCCTGATCACAGAGGGAGGACGTCATTTGTTACTTTGATGAGTGCTGTTTCTGTGCTGTGGACAGGGCAAAAACCAGACTGGAAGGATTTGATTAGGGAGTGGAGGGAGATTGTGAGCGAAGTTGATTTACAATGACACTTTCTGAAACTTTGGCCAGGAAGGGCAGGTTTGAGATGGATCTGAATTTTGTGATAAATAATGTGGACTCCTCACTCATCCATTTAAAAAACAGCTTATGATGGGAAGATGGTAGAGTGGATATTCTGGAAAGACAAGATCAAATAGCCAAAGGACCTTCTTCATCCAAACTAATCTTGTGATCTTTCGTACCACACAATGCCAGCCCTTCTATCTCTCTGACTCTCCCTCTCTCTCATCAACTCCTGTGTTTTCTCTCACTCTGAGACTCTTTCCCTATGATAAACTTTCTATCTCTGTTTTTCCCTCAATGTCCATCTCTATCTCTATACAATGGATTAGTAAACAATGTATATTACTAGTAAAACAAAACTCAGTTGCACACATGCGCTTAAGAGTTCCATTTAACAGTAGTGTTAAAATTCAATTGAACAATGAGAGACTGGTAATGTTACATGCAATAGAATTTGGAGGAGTCTCAAGCCATCTTGCCAAATGACATTAGAAGGATGCAACATTCAAGGCCCCAGGGAGAGTTTGCTTCTACAGAGCTGTCAACATCAGAAGCAGTTCAACAGTTACATTTACAATGATCAAAAGTGACACAGATATCAAAACACTTTTTAAAAAGTATATAGTTCTGTGTATTTTGTTTAGCAGCAGCTGACATCAAACCAGCCTGATTTTTAAACTAAAATGAATAATTAATATTCTTCATGAGTTTCTTTGAACCCATTTCTAGAAGAGATCTTCTTAGCCCTTGGTTGACTCATCACTTGCCAAACAGTCCAAACAGTGTACTAAACAATGAATTAGGACAATGGGGTACATTTCCAAATCAGTTGAGTTCAGAGCCCCAGAAATCATGCTCAAGCTGCACATTATTCTGGTCCGTCCCACATTGAATACGCTATGGTGACAAAGAACAATGACCTCCAGTATTAGAAAGTTGAAATATATAATTTATATTTATGCAGCCCTGTTCACATTAAGATGACATCAAGTGCTTTACTCAGCCAGCTGGGCATCCAAGCCCGAGGGGTGGGTGGGGGCGGGAAGAAGCTGATAGATAAAACAGTCCCAATTTATTAAACATATATTGGAGAACATGATATAGTGGGTAATATTAAGGACAAGGTCTAATTAAGGACTTTAAAATGGTCAATCAAGTTGCTCCTTATGGAGACCATGTACAACCGGCCCTATTTTGGCTTACACTTGTACCACTATTATTGACTTGCCAAGTATCTTCCCAGATGGATGTTGGAAATATCTTGCATACAAAAGTTTTTTTGGCCTATTATAGTATTTTATTATTAGAGTATTCGAATATTTATAAAGAATCAGAATATGGTTGAATTAGATTCATCAAAAGTACTACAGGAAATAATGGTAGAAATAGGAGAGCTGTGACTGAAAGTTTTCACACCAGAAAATTGCAACCAACATTCTAATACCTGAAAAGGTCAGCAGCGAGATCCTGGCAATTATATGCTGTTAACTTGACATGGCTAAACAGAGTCTAATATTAAAGAACAAAATCAAGCGCACTTAATAAGACTGAAGATAACACTTCAGAGTAAACACAGGTCATGCCTAAAATAATTGGAGTTCAATGAGAATGTCACAGAATTTGTAGATGTTGGTAATCTAATGAATGTTAAACATCTTGACTTTAGAAGGTATTTAATATAATTCTTTAAGAGGTTCGTCTTCTTAAAATTGACAGTTCTTAGGATAAAGGGAATAGTTATAATGAGACAAATTCTGACTAATTGAAAAATGATGGTAGAATGGAACTTCTATTATTTTCCACATTGGCATTGTAAAAAGTAGCTTCATGGCTCTGCTATTTCCTACTTTTATAAAGTTTAAAGCAGAATTTTGTGAGAGTGATGCATGGGCTGGTGTATTTTGTTCACTGAGGATTTTGTGGTAGAGGGGGTTTCTGTTGGCTGGTAGAGAGTTTGTTACTCATGCAGACCTTTAGCAGTTGGGTGGTATGGGTGCAGAGAGAGAAAGAGAATGAACTGGAAACCTGGGGACCAGAGTTGAGATTAATCACAAATGGAATTCAATATTAACAAACGTAACGCACTATTGATTGGAACTAAAAATGTTAAATAAGCGTAAAAATGGTAAATTGTTAAATGATGAGTCGGAAAAAATATCACATGGAAGAGTTAGCCAAACAGTGTAAAGCATTGCCTCAGAGCAATCACAGAAGGTCAGATACAACAAGTGTTATCCACTCCCCCCTCTCACTCTTAGTTAACTAACAGTGGATATATCCAGAGGCAAGATATTAACAGACCGCTGGACAATCTGACTAATTATTTCAATCTGGCTTATACAGTTTAGGTGACCAAAACGGTTGATAGTGATTTTTTTAAACCCTCAACTCAAGTGAATAAAACACACCAGAAAAGTGACATTTAAAATATTTGGATGCATTAGTTAACTTTGTACAATAAAAATAAGTGAATACTCCAACAGTATTCACAAACTAAATTGTTTAGAGTCAGAAAATATTTTAATTAGTGGTATGGAAATTATATTTTTGGTAATTCATTTGGTTTATGATGAATTCGGTAATGTGAGTGAGATCACAACATCAGTATATAATGAGTGTTTGTGCAATGGCTGTGGTTGAGCAAGATTTCACGAGAATGGACCTGCATCTCTTCCTGCTTCACTGAATGTTTTCCCAGTGTTGGGTTAAAACAGTGGAGTCTGGACCAAGAAATTCCACATCTATCATAGGAACAGGAGTAGGCCATTCAGTCCCTCAAGCCTATTCTGCCATTCTATAGGATCATGGCTGTTCCGTACCTCAAGTCTAATTATGTGCCCTTGCCCAGTGTCTCTTGATACGCTGACCTAACAAATATCTATCCACCTCAGTCTTGAAGATGTGAATGGTTCCCGCATCCATAGCCTTTTGGGTAAAAAAGTGCCTCCTAATTTCACTCCTAAATGGCCTATCTCTAATTTTAAGATTATGCCACCTTGTTCTGGATTCCTCCACCAGAGGAAATAGTTTCTCTATTCCCTATCGAATCCCTTTATTATTTTAAAAACCTCAATTAGATCACCCCTCAATCTTCTAAACTCAAGGGAATAGAGACCAAGTTTATGCAATCTGTGCTCATTATTTAACCCTTTAGGTCCTGGTATCATTCTGGTGAATCTGCGCTGCACCCCCTCCAGAGCCAAAATATCTTCCTGAGGTGCAGTGCCCAACTGTTATTCCTGCCTCATATTATTGTTCAATATAAAACGAAGAAGGGAATTTCCTGCATCTGATGATTTGCTGCAATAGATTACAGCATAGTCTGTTTCAGAATTGAATCATTAAAGAACCAATTATAGACTGAAACACATATTGATAAGGAAGTAATTAAAACGTCACTGGATCTGGAGCCCAACTCTAATCAAGATCTCACCTACTGTGCCCACATAGCAAAAAATCTTTTGTTCAGTTATACAAGCTTCACACTGAGAACTGGTGAAGCTCACGCCCAAGCAGCGGTAGGTACGCTTCGAGTGACAGGCCGCTTTGGAACTCAAACCCACGACCATCTGCTTAGGAAGCAGCACTCCAAGTGCCTGTACCATCAGGCCACCCACAAGCTTGAAGCATTGAAGCAATAAACAAATGAATCAATTTTTAGATTTTGTACTTGCAGTCACGCAGCTATAAAATATAAGTATAATATTTTTAGCTTTATCCATTGCTTGGACCAGTTTAGTTTACATTGTCTGGGTTTGAGATTTACACCCAATTGGAAATAAATGGTCATGGCAGCTTAGCTGTAGAAGGCAAGATTCCTGTCCAGTTAGAATCACCCTATTAGGACTTTAGCTCACAGGGCTGCGGACATGTCTGCACCTCCATGTATCATTTATTAACTACACAAACTGCTCAAAGGTAAACAGTACTTTGGATTACCACAAACTGGGCAGGTCCCCTTCAAAGATGGTTTCAATTCTATTAAGACCCCACTTTCTTGCCTAATTTGTTGAGATAACAACAGTCATTTCAGACAAGCATCATACGAGAGCTAAAACTATGCATAAATGTAAAATGTACAGCATGTTGATGCCACCCTGACGATTGCTTTAGTATTTGTGTGCAGTATGTTTGCAAACAATGGGAGAAAAATTAGTAAGTGCACACACCTGGAAGTTGCGTTTTTTTAAAATCACTGTGTTTCAACATTTCTGCTACCACTGTTAAAATCAAGCTATGTTTTAGTTCACAGATGTAGCAGGTGGAAACAAACTGAAAAACAGTTTCAATATTGAAATTGAATTGGAATTGCTCCATTGGGAATAAACACATTTTGAATTCCAATTCAATTTCAATATTGGATATGACGTAAAATTCAAACCAACTAGAGGGCTAAGTAAAAGCAAATCTTTTAGGAACACTGTATTCATTGTGCCAGCTCTTCTCTAAGATTCTCCGATTCTTTTTCTCTCTCACTTTGTCCTTCTCTATCTTTCTCTGACTCACCCGTTTACTGTGTCTATGACTTTCGCCTTTGATTTAGAAAATCAGTTGGTGTTCAGGAACACAAAATGTCTGACTAATGGGTAATCAGTTACTGTTGACATCACTTCCTGCATGCTGCACATGTGTAGTGCAAAGATAGCGATATCAGCGGCAATTAAATGATCATCCAATATTTAGTTCACAAGAAGCTGGCTGTTGTTTTGAAGCAAGCCAACAGGATTTGAAGAGAGCCGCTTGGGTGTTCTCTGCACATTTTGATTGTTTAGTACGTAAATCTTGGGGTGAGCATATAAATCAGTTATAACAAAGTCCATTGTAACAAGGTTCTAGTGTAGTTTTGGAAATGTTTGTAAGCAACGAAGACAAATATAATAATTATTCTAAACATTTATATGCCTCCAGCCGACAAAATACAGCAATCTGTGTGAAGTCCATCCTCCTTTTGATTGTCCTCATGTCAGCATGGCTCAACAGGTAGCATTCTTGCCTCTGGGTCAGATGTTTGTGAGTTGAAGAACCACGTTGAGACTTTAGCTCACACACTTCACGAAGGGAGTTTCTCTCAAGTTTCCAAGCCAACAATTCTTTAGATTAATTGGCTGGTTGTGAGACCTTGCTGGCATCTATGGCTGTCACGTTTGAATCTAAAAACTGTTACTACATAACACAACACTGGCGAAGCATTTTGAGATGTTTCAACAATAAAAAAAATCTAGGTTCTTTCTTATTTCCTTATTTTTACTAAATAACTCTATGTTTTTGGTGGTGTTTAATTACCAACACATAACCCGAATGCTGATTAAACAAGTTTGTTGCGAATACAATTGCCTGCTTCAGATACTTCAGCATTGTGAAATACTTGTCATTGAAGATTTATTCTTGTTGCCCTCTTTCTTATCAATAAACCTATAAAATTTAGAAATCATATAAACAGCATGGGGCACTGGTAAGGGAATGTCACATTTTGCTTACATTAATGAATTATTGCTAACAGATGCTTTACTCACCTTTAGCAAACAGAAGAAGGTGTTGTTACTTCCTTCTCGCAATTTCAACCAAAAACTGCAATCTCCCACCTTTTATGACTTCACTCAATCCTTCCCCATTTATACTCTTGGAATCATTGCCTCTTTTGCTAACAAATCAAGCTTCATGATCTATTCCATTGATATATCTGTCTCCAAGAATTCATATTCAGATAATAGCAAACATTTATATTCCACTCAACAATTCTTAACTATTTAAAGCCCAAGAGCTAAACACTGTTTCCATGACTAGACCTCTGGAGTATTTCTTACACAGCTGACAGCTTAGAGAAGGCACAAGAAAATGCTCAGCATTTGATTGAGGAATTTTTTAACCTCTGATCTCTAATTTCTCACAACCTTTATCATTTTTTCTCTATTTGATTAACTTGTATTACAGACCATTGGTCTGCTTATTTTTTTCCTTGTTCCTCCCATACTTCAAGTTCACGGTCCTGCACAATCTTGCTCTGCTCTGGGTCAAATATTTCCCAGGACCTAAACACTTTTGAACTCCTGTTATTCAGATAGTCCCTTCCTCTGAAATTTTTTTCTTTACAAATCTGAACCTGGTTTCACTTAATAATTGATCAATGTATTTCAACTACTGTTATTGTTTTTCACATGGTGATGACTTGGGCTATGGCTCTGCTGTGATTCGCCCCTTCCTCAGGCAAATAGTTTGCCAGCATTCACATCTAGATTCACACATGAAGAATGGCAAGTTGTGGCTAGTATGAATTGAAACTATTTCCATGAAATTATTCCCCAGCAATATTTTCAGAACAGAATGAGAAGAAAGCAGGAAAGAACCTTGAATTAAAACCGTCCTCATCAATATGATTGCCAAATATCTGCTTGAAAAATAGGGCTATCATTTACATAAGTACATTTTATCAGCTCTAGAGGGCAACATCAACAACAACAAATTTACATTTATATAATGCCTTTCATGTCGGGACGATGTCCAACTGCGCTAGGACATCAGAGAAGTCACCATAACCTTTTCATGCAGAATCCCTAACAGGGGCCTAAGAACAAAACAGGATATCAGGAATGGATCCAAATCCCTGACTGTCCAGCGCCTTGGGACATCCTCCTGATGTGAAAGGCTCTCTACAAATGTAATTTGGTATTGTATTTTGTATTGTATTCCAATGGGATAGGACAAACAATTCTTCTTGCTGTATATGTCTTGTAGTATAAGCATCTTCTTATACTTGTAGTCCTATTCCAATGGTGGCATGTGATCAAACTATAGAACCAGCTCCAAATGAACAGCAATTGGTCATCTCATTCTGATAGATCTTTAGAATAGCAAGAGGAGAAAATGGAAGCATTTACACTGGTCCGGTTAAGGGTGTGCTACTACTGCTGAATAAATGACTGCATACCTGCTGTACAATAGTAGTTAGTTCCAGGCAGAGCTGAATAACATTGTTTCTGGTAAGAGAGTAATCTGTCACAGCTGCAAATGGAGATCTAGAAGAAAAAGTAGAATGAGATTAAGTTTACATTGCAATTTATAGTAAGAATTTAAGAAAAAGCGTACATTAAAAAAAGGCAAAATCTCAGTTCAATTAATTTCCCTCAGCAAAATATTTTACGAACCAGTAATTAACATTAGAATGAAGTGGGTATGGAATTACTATGTTTCAATGAACTATTTTCTAAAACTTCTTAATAGCAAAAATCAATCTGTTTGGTTATAATTAATGGAGGGCCACAGTGCCTTCTTCATCCGATCCAATCTTGTGAAGTCTGGACATCAGATTATAAATATCACCAGAAGAAAAGGGGGGGGGGTTAGATTTTGTTCTACAGTGTGAAATGCTGCGACATAAATGACTGTTAAAGCTGAATCTGTAACAGTATTTATAAAATGAATCGGATAAATACCAAAGGAAAAATAATAATAAATAGGAGCACAGAGCAGGATAATGGGATTAGAACAAATTGCTCTCGTGGGGAGCTAGCTGCAGCGGACACAATGGTTTGAATGTCCACATTCTGTGCTGCAAAGTTTCTATTAACTCGTTGAAAGGTTATTGATTTTTATATCATAGCAAATAGGTTCTTGCAGCATTTCCCAGGGAGCCGCACGTGATTAATGGGAGCAGAGTATCGTTCATTTTTGGATCCTTTTATAGTGGAATACACAAAAGAACAAGATAAAAAGTGCACATTTAGTACATCAGGTTGTGAAACATTCTCCAATTACTGATGAATAGAAAAGTAAAATGTCAAAAGAACCCAAACTTATTTTTAAGTAAACTCTGTAATTGGTTCAAAAGAATGAAACTGTATTTTACATTTGCAGAATTGAGTTCATGTATCAGACAATCAATCTTGGCATTACCTGTCCAGCCATGCCAGGAGGCTTTTGGCAGCACCTATAAGATCCACCACTGATGTCAAGAAATCATTTGGCAATCTTCTAGAGGACCTTCCATCATAGTGCCCACTTCGCCTCCGACCAGTTATAAAATTCTGAAGATTTTTGGCAGACGCGTTCAGTTTGTGGGATAGTGTTTTCAGGTTTTCAGTTTCAAGCCCATAGTTCTGTTAAAAAATAAACCTCAGTAAATAAGAACAAGTTTTTCCTACAACATTATGCAACGGAAACTGCACTAAATATCACAAAACACCTCGTCTATAATCTGCTTTTTGTATGTATTTTTCCACATGTCCCAGTTCTTCCAGACAACTTTCTTTATCTGAACGAATTGCTCATAGGTAGCTGGTGGATCAAACATGTTTTTTTTAAAAAAAGCTTTATGTGCCTTGATTCAATTCTGACTATCTGTTACAATCAAGTGTACCTCACTATTTTTAAAAAGACAATTAGTTTTACAAATGCAAATGTCCATGTAAACTGGTCATCTTTAAGGAGCTTTGTGTAGGTTTGTGACAAATATGCAAAACTGGGGTAGTGACACATACACTGCAATAATTGGATTTTTAATCACCCACTGAACATGAATATGCATCCATTTTACAATAACTTAGTATAAATGATTCCACAATTTTATGAATTGTTAAAAGTGTGGAATAACAAAAGAATAATTACTTCCTTTGAAGTCCATTGTAAAATCAAATGATCTGAAAACAATAATGAAAACCTTGGATTGTCGCTGTGCGTGTTGAACTGCTAGATCTTATTGCAAAAATTATTTTTAAATCTAGGAAATGCATAAATATCATGAAACCATCATTCATGTTGCAGAACGTCTTATGTGGTCATAAAATAGTCTCCACTATAATTGTGATCAAACAACATTTCTTAATACAGGAATGTATTTTTCCAAACACCTCTAGCAACATTACCTCACCCAGTGGAGAAAAATCTGGAAAGCCATTGTAAAGTGCAACAAGCAACACCACCACAAATTACATCTATATAGTTCCTTTTATGTCGGAAGGACGTCCCAAGGTACTGGACAGTTAAGGGTTTGCACCCGAGCTGGGGGCCGGCATGAAGAGGGGCTTAGGGAAGGGGCAGTGGGAGGGTGGCTGAAGGCATGATCAAAGAGGAAGATCTTGAGATGGGCCTTGAAGGAGACAAGGGAGTGGGGGTGAGGCGAAGAGACGGAGCTCCAGAGGGTGGGGGCAGAAAATCTAACAGCTCGATCGCCATGGTACGACAGGGGACATGGAGCAGACAAGTGCCCGCTGAGCGGAGGGAGCGGACAGGTTGGTATTGTGTTAATAAGTCGCAGGGGTAGGGAACAGCATGACAATGAGGATTTTAAACTTGATCCTCTGAGGGATAGGGAGCCAGTGAACAACAAAAAACAAAACAACATAGTGTGAGAGCTGAGAAGCGGGTAAGGGGGTATCTTTGTTATTGCAATGTTATAACAGAATTGAAATAAGAGGTTGCTTGTGCTTATTCATGTTTTGCTTCTCAATCTTCTGCTATGCGGAAGATATATAGAATGAAAAATCAAATGTACTGTCTCTTTAACAAAATAAAATGCTCTCAAAAGAAACGTCTAAGTGTTATTACAAAACAGTGCTTTAGGCACATCTCCACTTCACTGCAGTGCGTTCATAGACTGAAAAAAACACAAGAAGAACCAGGAACCTTAACACCACATGACATGCACATATATCTGGAGCGCACATATACTAACTGCTTGGTGGAACTGACCAAAAAGCAACCACTGTTAAATAAGATGGGACACAACCCCTTTTTGTGTGAATGGGCACACATTCAGTTTCACGCACAACAGGGCAATTGATTCTCCTGTTACACAATATGTGGAGGAGCTCAATATCAAAACCAAGATAAACTATTTTTTATAATAAATGAACTGCAAGATTAAGTGCAGTATGGTATCACTGACAGCTCCAGTAGATTCCTGTAAAATACTGCTGCTTTAAGGCGAAAACAACTTCAATTAGAAAATAATTTTATATAGAAGTAAAATATTATACCGAATATGGTATTTTTCCAAATATAAAGTGAGTTTTTTTTCCGCACATTAATTACATTTCCAAAATCGCTAGTTGCCTTATATTCACAGTCTAACCGAAATCTTGGGTACTTATGTAAAAGAGGGAAAAATCAAAGGGTGCAAGGCCCCATCTACTGTCAGACACTTCCAAGCACAGACTAGAACAGGATCCCCAGCTCAGAATCTCAAATTGGAGAATGGTGCAATCCCTCAAAAAGGGAATATAACTGAAATAGAGAGTGCTTTTGCTTTTTAAAAAAAATCTAAATTATGGTATGCCAAAACACATTTTTACTCCTTGATTAAGGCACTACATTACATTGTGTTTTAAAATAATGTCTGACTTCTGAATAAATGCCAGCTGAAAATGTTGCAGGCCGCTTTGTGGAATTTTTGCTTAGCTTAGTGAGTATTGTGCTAAAACTCAAACTGAATTATGTTCGCAAAATGCAGCAATCATGTGAAAAAATAAAAAGGAACTTCAAAAGGAGTGGGCTAGCTATCCTAAAAATACATTGTTAAGTTCTGACTACAGGTAATGTGCTTCCGAAAGGGTAAATTAGGGATCAATCTCATCAGATCCTATTATGACAAGGTGGAAAAATATAGATTGCATCAGGAGATTGAAAAACAGTAGATAATTTTAGCACACTTGACAATTTAATAGCATAAAATCTCACTTTATCTTGAGTAGCAATCTATCATTTTGCCTCAAAAAGCATCCAAGAGTGAAAAAATTATTTGCTCCTCACTACAATTTTAAACTTTCCCACTTGTGCATGAACCATGTCACCATATGTCAGAAGATAAGTACTGTCTTTCTGAAGACATCACTTCACAGGAGATGCTGATTTGAGAGATTGAAAGACAAAGAGGGTGGGTGTCCTTACCAGAGCACAGAGAAGATCTACAGCTTCCAGGATAAGTTCCTGGTGGCCTATGCGAGTGACCCCGAGCTCTTCTAACTCCTGATGAGTGATGCGTAGAAGTTGGTCTCCACTGATCTTCTCCCTCTCAAAGTTCTTAATGTATTGCTGGAGACAGTCATCCAGACCTGGTGGCCATAAACACAGAAATTACTGAAGCTACTTTAGTCTTAATTTCATTTTTTTAAATAAGTATACACATATACACCCTACACACAGCAGGGCCTTGAATTGATATATTGTGCTTTTAAAAATTAGTTACCGGAGGGATATGTGCAGCCAATTGCAACAGCAAATAAAATCTGCAAATTTCCCTGTGGCATTCTGCACTCAACATCTAATAGATTTTAATCTGCTCCAATGACAGGAGTACAGAGAAGTCATCCAAAACCAAATAAAATACCTTCTACATAGGGCAAAAGTTCACTAGCAATAGATGCGTTGCTGCATTTTTCAAGACCAAAGCTGAAACTTTCAACAAGCCACAGTTGCAAAGATCAATGTTTTAAAAACTATAAAATATTTAGTCAAACAGGTAACTGATGATAATCAAAGCAAAACTAACAAAGATGATTATTTGCCATCATGCATAAAACTCTATTTTTTGATTTTTTTAAAAATCCATTGCAAAAGCAAAATAATACCATCTACTTAAAAACTGAGCAGAATCATTATGCAAATGTTTCCAACTTCCATTACAAATATATATAATATATATATATATATATATATAACATAGGAAAGCAGCAAGGAAGAGCCACCAATAGGCATGGCAAGTCCATTCCTTTCACAGCTATGAAAATACCTTCCTGTCACAGATTTCACTCCCACCTCTATCTGCTTCTCGGCCTCCCCAATTCCTCCTTCCATAGGCTGCAGATCATTCAGAACTCTGTAGTCCATGTCCTCTCCCGTACCAGGCTCTGTGACCCTAACAACCCCATCCTCGCCCGACTCCACTGGCTTCTGATCCCTCAGAGGATACGGTTTAAGATCCTGGTATCACCTTCAAAGCCCTCCATGGCCTGGCCCTCCTATCTCTGCGACCTCCTAAACCCGTACCTCCGTGCTTGCTCCCTCCACTCAGCAGGCTCCAACCTGTTACGCGTCTCCCATCTCACCATTGGCAGGCAGGCGTTCTGCCAATCTGTCCCTACTCTCTGAAACTCCATCCCACATGTTAGTTTGCATCAGATTATATATCAGTTAATATATCGTGTAAGACCAGTTATTCACAACTATTCCGATGAGCTGCCCTGACTGATGCTCCAAACAATCTTTCTATAGGTGCTGAATGACTTGCTGTGCACTTCAGTTCATATTTCAGATTTAGCATCTACAATTGTTCTTTCTTTCTCTCGGTGGATTACACCTCATTAGCATGATACACAGTATAATTCAAGATATGTCAAAACAAGATGGCTAACTAGCGTGGTGAAAATCCTCAGTGCTGAACGTTCATGACAATCCAGCACTGAGTGGCTGGAGAGCCTTTGAGAGTCGTCCCAATAAAGTTCCAGTACAAATGAATACAGTAACACTGTGAGGCTCCTTCTATTTTGCTATTAAGTCATGTTTAGCATCAACCTTCTGACAAATGCTTCCAATAGTTAGTCATCCACTGGAATAGGCAGTTGTCTATGTCAAAAGTTGTCTATTTCAAGGATATAAACTTACTCCTCATGTCATATTCATCAAGCAGTAATCCATACACAGTAGGCCTCCAGATATTTGAAAAACTCCCTCATCCTAAACATTGACCGAGGGCAATAGAAGAGATCAAGGAGTGAATATCCAGGTAGAGGGACAGAGAAGCAGCACAAGTAATAATCCCTTTAAAAAAATGTGCTCACTCAATCCACGACTGTTTGTGGGACACTGCAGTGGGCAATTGGCTGCCATTTTATTCCACATATCCTAAAAGTTTAAAAGGGCTGAACAGTCTTCTTCAGTGCTCTAAAAGTTCCCAGGACCATGCTTCTGACCTATCCAAAGACTGAAATACAAAGTAAAGCGATTCCAATCTTTGGATAATCAAATTAAGTTTCTGCCACAGTGCTTCCCATTTCTACTTCATTTCTATTCATACTTTTCATTTGTAATTGTATTACATTTATTTCCTTGACGAGAAATATTACTAAGGACTTGCACCTTTTACATTGGAAAATATCTCAAAGCACTTTACATGGAAGGTGTAGAATGCCCAGCCAGGTGAAAAAAGGGGAATGTGAAGGAAGGTGGAACAGATAGGTTTTTAGAAGAGTTTTGAAGATGGAAAGAGAGGGAGTGGAAGCTTAGTGACCTAAAACTCACTTGTTTGGCGACAGTGGGAAGAAGGGGATGAGGGATGTGCATTAGGCCTGCATTTGGGGAGTAAAGAGAATAGGCGGAGGAGTTGGGCTGATCAAGATTGCAGAGGTAGGGTACAAAGATTTAAATGTCAGTTCAAGGATCCTGGAAGTTGATCTCCTGGGGGACAGAGTGCCAGTGGAGTCTAGCGTGAGCTTTCATGTAAACAAATGTGTTTTACTATGAGAATGATTAGGTTCTTGGGTACGGCAGGGCTACACTCACTTGTTGGCAACTTTAGGAATAAGGAACTGTCATGGTAAATACCATTGCTAAATTGGTCTAGTAGAGGATTCTCTTTTGAGATTAAAGCTGGAGCACATTGCAGGAGCAGAGTTTAGGGACCTCACCTCCAGTGTTAAATCATGACCAACTAGTGCTTAATCTTAACACAGGGGGTGCAAACCAAAAACATTTTCTCTTCCTCAACTTGACAATTAAACTTCACAGAATATGTAATTAGAAAGAGTAGGTAAGAGTAATTAATAACAGCCTCTTTTTTTAAAAAAATTCTGCACGTATATATCTCTTATATATCATGTGAAGCATTTTGAAATATCCATCTGATGAGAAAGGAGTTATATCAAATGCAAAGATTATTATTTCTTTGTCAAATTTACTTTCCTTCGGGATGCAGACCTGGATTATGCAATTCAGATCTTTTCAGTAAAGACCATTCAGAAGTCTTTACTGATGCCTCAGTTAATCTCAGTTTAGAAAAGCCAGCTCAGGACATGTTACATCGGCTAAACCCTTGCTACAAGTTTTAATCCAAATGTATCAACACAAGCACAGATCAATAAGGCAGAATATTATAGCCTAAAATTTCATTTTCAGTGTTATGCAAAATGCTTCTATCATATCTAATGAAACAAACATTATGCTGAAATTGCTGTCCAAATACACTAAAAATGTCAACATGACTCAGTTTGTTTGATGGAGCTGTAGTTTAATATCTATGTAGTTCAGTTTACAAAGGTTTTTGTTCCTTTCCTTCAAGGTTATTTTCATATACTTTCTATCCACTTCACATTGGTAGGATTCTGAGATATTTTACTTGACTTGATACATTTAACAATTCTAAATACAACACCTTATTTCAGCTATCTTGAATAACTGGTACCATTTACTCAGCAAATGTTGATCCAGCTCATCCTGTAATCCTGTAGTACAGTGGTTAGAGCACTTGCCTCCCAGGCGAGAGACATTGGTTTGATTCCCGGCAGGGCGAAACGTTGGGCAAGTTTCCTTACTCTACATGGCTCTGTTTACCTAGCAGTAAGTAGGAATCCGGTTGTTAGTCGCTTGGTGGATCACTTTTCTGGGGGTAATAATTCCTTCAAAGAAAATAATAAATTAGTCACTCAATCCATGACTGTTTGTGGGACACTGCTGTGCGCAATTGGTTGCCGCATTTCATACACAAAATATACAGTCAATTCACTTTACAGTGTATTCTGTGAAGCGCTTCAAAACGTCTTGAAGACGTGATAAGGCGCTATATCAAATGCAAGGATTATTATTATAGTATACAGATGATCTGGTGAATTGACATACAGGATCATCACCGGGATCTCTTTTGCATACAATACACATTTTTAACAGTGGTGCATTACAAAGTACATTATTTGCTCAATATAAAAAAAGCAAATGTAATTCAATTTTCAAACTTTTCATAAGTTTCTTTTCAAAAAGAAAAAATGCAATTTAAAAAGATATAAAATTTGGGCTGGTAAATACACATTTTTCTTGGAGTTAAAAGTATGGATGCAATTCACATATTCTTTTCTTCTGTGCGGAATTCTCTTTCTAATCTCAGATCTCACTTGAAGTTTGAACAAAAAGAGGATTGACAGAAATTTCAAGAGACAACATGGGAGCACAAAGAATGACCGCTTGAGGGCCAAGGATGAGGACAGCTGATGTTTCAATGAAATTATGTTTACCAGGCCTAATAATGGACTAAAAGATTGTGAACAGAGCTAACATTGGATTGAGATGTTTCACACCAATTAACGATTGGCAGAACTTTTTGACACTAAAGAGAAGCAGAAATTGTTTTTAAAATGAACAGTACAGTCATTGACTGATTGACTGACTCCTCATATGCCATGTCTAATAATCTAACACATTTTGACACTGCTTTAGCCATACTGGTGCATCACATTATTTGGTCTCAATACATAAATGTGGATGATTTTCAATATCATTTTTCACCTCCGGTATTTTTTCAATCTAAAAAGACCCCCCCCCAAAAAAAGATATTAAATTAAGTTCAATGCATTGTAATGCAATGGATTGTAAAAACACCTTATCTCATTGAAATGTCTCAAAGCACTTAGTTTTTTTCTAATGCAGTGATTACCTTGTAAGCAAACATGGCGGTCAATTTCCACACAGCAATGAAGTGAATGTTCAGNTTTTTTTGTAATCTGGGGAATTCTAGGTCAGGATACCAGGAGAGACTCACTTCTCTTTTGATTAGTGCCATGGGATCTTTCATATCCATTAAAAAAGGCAGACAGGACTTTGGTTTAACATCTCATCCAAAAGATGGCACTTCCAACAATGCAATGTGCCCCAACACTACACGGGTGTGTTAATCTAGACTGTGAGCTCAAAGTCCTGTCGTGGGGCTTGAATTTATAACCTTCTGACTCAGAGGCAACAGTGCGACCAACTGAGTCAGGACGCCATAAGTGATTGGCAGAACTTTAATAAGGCAGCAGAGCCTCAGAGAGCATTGAACCACATACAGTGCCTAACCTGAAAGTCGAGA